CAAGAAGAGATATACCTTTCAAAGTCACATTAGGAGTGACCTCCACTAGTGAGATGCCACCTCCTAACAGCCCACTCAGCCAATGAACTCATAAAAAGATTAATCCATGGATGAGGTTAGCACTCTTTGATTTCATAACTTCTCTTATCCCACTTCTGAATATTGCTAATCAAAGATCAAGCCCTCAGTGCATGAGTCTTCAGGAGATAGCCATAACATCTACAAAAATGTACTAGAAATTTAGCAGTTGAGAAGTATGAACTGTAGTAAGGGACTTGAACTTGGGTACATCCAACCAAGTGCACTTGCCCTATTTTGAGAGAGAGAGAGAGAGAGAGGGAGAGAGAGAGAGAGAAACTGAAACTCTTGGTTTGTTGATTTCCATGAAAATAGTGAGACGAGTTCACCTACTGTTTTCCTTCAAGTAATTAATAGAAAGAGGTAGAAGAGACTTCAGTGATTCCATACCAGCACTCCTTTTTAGCAGAAGGAGATGTGGAGTTTCTATAAAATAAGGCTAATGAATGTTCTGCAGCTCAGCTCTTTGCTCAGACTCTATTTTTAATGAGGAGGTAACATTTAGGAAAAAAATTTGGATTGGAGCCCCACACCTGTTTTTTCATGTTCTTTCTGCCTTTCATTGCCCTATTATAAAAATAAATGTCAGGTAACTTTCAAAATAAATATGGCAGCACTAATTTCCTTCTTGTGTCATTTAATGTTTTGCATGATGTTCCAACTATTTTTCCTTCCCTTCCCTAGGAAAATAAAGCCAGTGGGCTCTTTCACTTTTAAAAACATGTTCTTTTTTCTTAGTGGTTTGGATCTCCATTCTTAGCATTTCTAAGAGCCGTGATAAGATGTGTGCATTTTAGACGACCCTCAGGGTTGTATGACCATGTGAGGGTGATCTCAAATTTGAAATGCATAAAGAAAGAAGTCCACATGCTTTTAAAAAAAATTCATTTAAGATTTACCTAAATGTATTTTCCAACTCCCAAAAGGACAAATGGCAAGGTTCACTGTGGAGCAAGAGACCTTAAAAGAATTCTCTGCTCTACTGCAGCTCCTGGATTTGCACATGAGATGAGGTATGCTGGGGTGAACAGAATGGGAAACGCTGAGCAACACAGGACCAAGTCCTTGGAAGAAGAGTGACCAGCACTGAGACAGACTTCCTGTCACTGAGAAGCATTCATCCTTTTCTTAGATGATATAATAATCCTTGGGTAAAATCAATACCCAAATCAAAACTATCCAAAAACCACATGCCATCCATATAATACTCAGTATTTCTGTATGCTGATATATAAATATGTAAGATTTATTTTATAGTAGACAGCATCCTTAACAAAAGTGGATCAGTAGTCTATAAAAACAATGAACTCCCTATCTTGTATGATTTCTACCTGACTCAAGATTAAGGCCACCAAGTAAAATGTGTAGAAAGGCAAAATGGTAGATACTACATAGCATATTGCCTTAGTAGCTGACTTTACATTTGTCTGTACCTCTTTCATCTAAAGCAGGAGCTCTTTCTATATGATTGAGTTAAGAACTGGTAATATAAACAATGAAATTGGATGGCAACAGGATACAGTACAAAGGGCATGAATTGGGAATCCAAAGGAAAGGCCTTCATTTGCATGCCATCTTGATTCCCTTATCTTGTGATTCTCAGTCTCCTTCTATGTGAACTGGCAACCCCACTTCATTGGTTTCATGAGATTGCTTTCCTCTATGGTCGTGCAGACAAGGATCTAGAGCAAGCCATCACTGGCAGAAGATCTGCTCTGAGACTGATTCCACTGTCAAATCACTTCAGATGAAACAGGGTTCCCAGCTTTTCCTCACACTCATGTGTGTATGGCTTTTAAAAAGGAGAAGACAAAACTATAAAACAAACAGATACACAAGTGAAAGACAACACTATTGTCCTTTATTTTCCCAAAACTTCATCCCCTGGAACAGCTCAATTCAGACACTTTTTATTTGGAGGATGCACATTTATTTTGCAAGTTTCTTCACCCCTAATGCAGATAAGCACCTCCCGGAAGGCATGCACAGGGTTAGGGCTCCAGGAACCTTTGTGTTGTCCTACCCACAGGAAGTGACTTTACTTTCAGAGCCAGGATACTATGAACACTCGAGATAGTTACAAATCATTCTTTGACTATAAAAATTATCTGGGGCATTAATAAAATGTGTTGCTATATTTGGTTTCAGGGGAGTCTGGTTGATCCTCACAAATTATTAGGATAATTGTCATTATTTTTTATATAGGATTTTTACCTTTCAAAAAAGCCTGTGAGATCTCAAATCATTTCAAAACAAGCTTCTTTAAAATTGGAAGAGAAGATAAAACTGTTTTTGTTGTTGTTGTTTCCCTGTTTCTGGCAGGAAAGATGCCAGAAAATACAAAATTTTGATCCATTTGAAATACAAATTACGAAACTCAAATTTTTCAAAATGCAGGAAAGTTTCCCTGGGGCAAGAATTATATAAGAGTTTTCTGAGACATACTTTAGGACCTCAGAGCTGCACATTTGTAAAACTTCCCTTCACTTGTTTCAATATTTGAGAGACAGGTTTCAAATAACTGATGATTTTCCCCCTTTGCAGCTGGCAAAGTGGCAGCCTTTGGCAACCTCTCTTTCCTTCATAAACGGGCTTTAATGGACTAACATGTGCTTAATAATACAGCCAGCACCTGGATTCTTCAGAGCAACTCGTCACCAGGGCCTGTACTACATTAAAACTGCATTCTTGACCTGAGGCTTACAAGTCTCTGTACTCAAACATTTCACCGATTAGAGAGAAACAGCCCAGTGGCAGCTCACATTTTTTCTTCTCTAAATAAGGATGACTGAGGTTTAACTTTCATGACTATGAGAATGAAAAATATTATAATTCTAACTGATTAACAGACTTCCATTACTGGAAATCTAATAAATTTTATGGAACTCTTGTGACTACAAATTCATTCTTAGCTTCTTTGGCCCTGTGGAATGAGGACCCTTCTAGCTGTAGGTCCTTTCCCAAAAGGAAATTTTTAAATAGCTTGTCAACATTCGGCTAAGTATTAGAGATATATTATCTCATTCAGTGGTCACTCCAGTCTTGTGAAGCACCTCTCTCTCTCTCTCTTTTTCTCTCTCTCTCTTTCTCTCTCTCTCTCTCCCTCCTTCTCTCCATCTCTATCTATCTCTCTGTCTCTCTTGTAATTGACAATCTCCAAGCTCATCCCGAATGATTCATATACTTAATATTCTGTCCTTGTGTAATCTTCTACTTCCACATGGGCTGGACTTATTTCTTTGCTTCTAGTGAACAAATATGGCAGAAGTGATATCATTTTTCAATCGAAGATTACAAGGCTATAGCTCTGTTTATGTGCTTATTTCCACTATCTTTTGGCAGTCTGGTGGGAGCCCAACAAGGATATACTTAGAGGTGGACATTCTGAGTCCTGTCAAGAGCCACATGGGTTGGCTCAGAAGCAGAACTTCCCCCACTGAAGTCATCCCCCTTCTGGTAACTGCAACCCGATCAACAGTTTGCAATCATATGAAACCTTGAGCCACTACCAAGTTGCCTCTGGATTTCTGACCCACAGAAGTTGAGACAGAATAAATATTGTTTTCAACCATTAAATTTTGGTGTTTTACAGCTGTAGCTAACTAATATGCTCCAGTTGACATGGAAGGCTAAGTTAAGGAGTTTACCCAGGCCCACAGAACACGAAGCAGAGGTAGTCTCAGGCCTTTTTATTCCCTTCTTGGCATTTGAGGCTATCTCATGGCCTGACCAGACATTAACTGTCAAGTTGTATCCTTTAACATTTAACTTAATCTTCTTTTATGTATTCATGTAATAAATCTAATAGTCCCATAGGGGAAGGAAGACCTTAAAATAAAAAAAAATTGTCTTGTGTAATGTGTGATGGGTGCAGGCCCCGTGTGCACAGCAGAGGCAGATTTGGTTCAGATTATATTCATGGAGATTTCTCAGAGGATCTGTGCCTTCAACTCTTGCCCAGTGCCTGGCAGGTGGTCTGATTATGTGCATACTTGTCCATTAAGCAGGCCCACTGCTGCCTGAAGGATGGGAGAAACTGGGAAGATAAGCAATGGAGAAAGAGGGAGAGGACCCTACTGTTTCACACCGAAGACAGTTCGCTGGAAAACCCCAAAGTGGTGAAGGGCATGGTAGCTCCTAGATCTGCTCCATTTCCTACACATTAAAATCTGAGCTCCAATGCAATCAAAGGTCAGTCTTCTGAAACATCAGCCATTTGGGGACCATTTAAAACAACTTAGGTGCCTTGTGTACTAGCATTTACTCAATATCTTAAAAATATATTTAAAAATTATTTTTAAAATTCAGTAAGTTTAATACTTGAAATAGAATTTGGAGCATGTACAAATCCTGTGATGATATGATGTGAGAGGAAAATATAGACTTGGAAGCCAGTTAATCCAAATGAAATATCAGTTATATCACTGTGTAACACATGATTTAGAAGTTATGGACACGACTCTTCATTTTTTCATCTATGAAGTAGAAAAGAATCCCCTCCTTGAGTGAGCCTGGTGGACATCATAGGTGATCCATGCTGTTTCTAGATCGTACCCAGCAGATCTTTCTCTAGCGTCTCTAGGACGCTAAATGCACCTGTATGGGAATTCTTATTCCCACTTCTCTAATGAGACTTCTGAGAGACAAAGACATTATAAGACTTGACAAAGTTTATGTAGCCAATTCCAAATTTATTGTTGTTTGTTCTTAATTAGGAAAAATTGCTGGCTCTTCAGATTTGGAGTAAATTTGCCAATACTGGGCCATCTTACATCCCTGGAAGTTGTAGTGCTTTTTTCTGTTCCTTTGTTAGTTTGTTTGGTAAGAATTCCAACCTTGTTGCTTGAATGAGTAAGAAACCCCCCTAAAGTAAAATAAAAAAGATAAAAGAAGCCATCCCACAGGGAGTCAGCAGACTGTACCTGTGAGGATTTCGGCTGGGTGTTCTGTCATTTTCTGAATCACAAGTCTCAGGACTCCAGCTTCCAGGCTCAGCAGCAGGGTTCCTGAGCCTTCAGACAGCTCTGTGGACAGAAGCAGACCATCCTTGTTCCATGTTCGAAACTGGAAGCTCACTGAGAGCCCATCAATTTGGGGGGTGCCGGGCAGCAGCAAATAACTGCTGCTGGAGTTGACAAATGTGATGGGAACAATTTGTGGTTCTGAGCAGGAAAAAGTGACATTGCCCTGGAAAACAATAAAAATCAAACATATAAAAGCCATTTTTTATTCTGCAGTCTGACAGCTGATATAAACAACCACCTGGAGCTGACCTTAATTTCAAGATCATGCCACATGCAGCTGCAAAATTTTAACAGCAAAAAAAGGAAAAATACATCAGCTTTGCCCAGATACACTCACAAGAATGTGTTCTGTCCCAACTTTAAGGGTCACAGTGATATCTGTAAAGAGGGCCATCTGAGACATCAAGGAGGGAGGGGATAGAACCATCAACATTTTCTAGGGAACCAAAGACACAAAAATAATTACATTCACTCACTGAATAAATCCATATGTCAAGGTGACTATGTGCCAAGCTCTGAGATAGCTTTAAGGAGATACACATAGATAAACTTTGTTATAGTGTGGGATGTGCTAAAAGAGAGATAGATATCAACTTGTATAGGAGCCTGGCCAAAGAAATCACTAGACAAAAAAAGATTTCACATGGAAAAGATGCTGGCATGAAAGAAGGTGGCAGATAAGAGCGGTGAGTGTGGCCTGTTTGATATTTTAACTCCAAAGCACAAGTGTGCAAAAGCTTGGGGGTGAAAGTAAAATAGCACTGCTGGGAAATGATAGGAAACTCAGCATTCTGCATTCTCATGAGTGGGGCAGAAAGAAGGATCAGGGAGCATAATGTTGGAAAGGCAAGTTGAAGCAGAGTCGGAAAGCCCTTTGATGCTGCCCCAAGATACAATAGATTCAGACATAGAAGTAGTAGAGTGACAATGATCCTTTTTTCAATTTAATAAGAGCATTTGTAGAACAAGGCATGGGAGTGGATGAGGGGACCAAACTTGGGGAATCTTAAGTGTATCTTGAGCTGAACCAAGAAGACTACTAAGTAGATTATTCTTTGCATAAGTCAAGGAAAACTGGGTCCAGATTTCTGTGAGAATAACAGTAAGTTTCAACATTAGGAATTTATGGGAAACTAGAAAAGTTGGATCTATGAGCTCACCTGCGTCACATGCTGGGATTGATTCCAGTGGATGGGTAAAGAGAAAGCCTGGAATACTGCATATGCTGTGAATAGGTGTCACATTATGAAAGCTATTTGGAATGTATATTGCAAGTTCTATGGGCAACCATGTCTTATTTTCCATCCCTGTCTCCCTGAGGCTTCAAACATTCACTTCCACAACATTGCAGTGAGCTCACTAAAGAAAGCTCATCCAAATAATCACACACATATTATGTTTCCTGTAAATGTTTCTTTCCAACGCTGTGAAACAGACTTTTATGCACAGTGATGTAGCTCAACATTTTTGAGACTTCTTCCCACTTACGCAAACAGGCAAGATTCCACAGGGGAACATGCTGGTGTGAATGGTAGCCTGAATTTAATTCCACTGAGGTAACTAAGAGGTGGAGCTAGATACTAGTGCAGAGCTTGCATAAGTCCTAGAGCAAATTAGTGGCCCAAATCCAAAACCTCTTTCCCTAGGCCTCACCTATGTTTGTTTATAATAGTCTTGTGTTCCTGAAAACATGTGACTAACTCACACAAACTTCCACTAGGGCTACTACTTTACTAATGATTCATTTGCTAATCATGTTTCCATGAGCATATCTTTGCGTGAATCAATTGTTATAACTGTTTAGATATTTTCTTCTCTTTAGAATAGATCACCAGAAGTTAATTAATGGGTCAAAGGATAAGACTTTTGATATCCATTAAAAAAAACACCACATCGTGTATACTGTTTCACCATGCCAGGTAGTAAGCTGACCACTTACATACATATCTTATAAATTCTGCACAGAATGCCATATAGTATTATATTATCCATTTAAAGTGTGCACACACTGGACATAGGAAGAGTAGATAACTTAACAAATCCCATAGGTCTCATTAGCAGTGACCATGGGAGAGAAATCCATGTTTGTCTGACTTGGAATCCTTTTGAATTTAGTCACCAATAACAGTAACTACCTCCTCTGCTCTGATGGCCATCATGTTTAAAAAGCTATACATTTCCTCTTTTTATCTCATAGTTGTTTAAATTTTCAGTTTTGTGGTAAATTTTCTGTCAAGAATGAAGAATCCCCACTAATGATACCTTAATTTTGACAGAGCTATCTTTTGGAAGAAGTGAAAAGCAAAATCACAAATGCTCTACAGGGAGGTAGCTTCTCTTCCTGCTTTTGGTATCCTGAGATTGGTATCATCTCCTGTAATAACACATTTGCCAGGGTACAGCTGTACTCAAAGTTTGAGATTGTAGAAGGTGTAACAGTTGAAACATCATAAGGAAGATAAAGGAAAAGCATATGAGGTTGTAGAAATGTACCACTGAATTTACTAATTTAAAGTCCAAAATTTGGGCTGGTAATGTAGCTCAGTAGCACCATGTCTACCTGGCAAACACAAGATCCTGAGTTCAGTTCCCAGTACTGGAAAAAATTCCAAAATTTATCTTACCTCAAGCCCCCTTCTCAATGCTCTCTGAATGACATCTATGGACGCTTGACCTCAGAACAGTGGAAAATCTCACTCCTGCCAAAGGTCTGGCAGTTCCCTTTCTTGACTCATTCCATGACACAGCTAATGGCACAGACTACTTGAGAACTATAGAGAAGAGCTCAGAATCTAAGATGTCCCTGGATTGGACTCCCAGAGCAAACACTTCCAATAAATGACTTCAGGTGTTCTTGTCCATTAAGGCAAAACCATGAGTGGTGATCAGCCCTTGCTTAACAGGGGTCAGAAAAACACAGGCATGAGGTGTGTGCTCACCTGTGGCTTTTTCTCTGATGCCCTGTAGTTCACTTCCCTCTCTCCTTTTCCCACTCTGTCCTTCACATTTTCTTGTGCTATTCTTGCCCTTATGCAGCTACAAGAGTTGTCTAAGATTTCTTTGTTTTTAGCAGGTACCCCTGCTATGTTGTCCAATGGTAACTCTAAGGGCAAGTGGGAGAAAAGACAGAGGAGGAGATGAGAAATTCCTTCACCACCAAAGTGTGTTTCCAGCTCTGGTTCTCGTCAGGTAGCTCCTGGTGGTCACTTCTGCTTTTAATCCCATCTCAATTGGAAAAAATTTCACACAGTACTGAGAAGCATCATTACTCAACCTTGTCTACCAGAGTAGAGAGAAAGAAAAGAAGGCTAACTACATGTAAAAGTGCTTCTTTTGAATTCGACATTGGTCTATTTGATCATCTAAAATAGTTCTCCTTGTGACAATCCTCAAGGTAGCAGCTGAGAGAAACCCAATTAATTAATCAGAAATGGTACATAAGAAAAAATTTGCTTTGGAATTTTGTGAAAACAGACAGGGAAAACAGTCAGCAAACTATGTTTTGCCTTGTATACATTGTTTGCCCATTTCTTCAAATTCAATCCCTCTTATTCCAAGGAGGAAGTTGTCTTCCTCACATTCCCTCCATTCCACTCTATGTTTAATTCATTCAGTATCTCAACATTCCCTCAGGATTTCTCAAGTGTCAATCTTTGCATTCTGTAGCCATTAAATGTACACAATAACTGTCATTGGACCTTGATCAAAAGAAGATGAATTGTGTCTGAATCTTCAGGTAAACCAACCAGTGTTGACCTCACAGGTGAGAATGAAAGGGAGTCAGCAAATTGGCATGAGTCTTTTCATCTTCTCCATGTCTTTTAAGGTCTATTGGCTTTTGCACTATGCAAAAATGAGAAGTCATTCAACAATGGAAAGACTAAATCCTCCGTGTCTGATTTGTCTTCCTGGACTATACTCATGAAGTCCGGTTGAACGGTGGCTTCCAGTGTCTGACAGAATCTGCTGGTCAAGACTATAGTGATCCCTCCCCCTGGCAGTGACTAGCACAGGCCACTGGACCCCCTTTGTTCACAAGAGGCAGATCTTAGTGCCCTATGCTTTCATCCTCATACATGCCTGTCTTGGTCTGTTCTCCCCTCTGCCCCATCTCTCTCTCTCTCTCTCTCTCTCTCTCTCTCACACACACACACACACACACACACACACACACACAAACACACACAAATTCTGAGGCCAAGGACATAATAAAAAAAAGAGTTCTACTTGGCTGACAGATTTGGAGGTTGAAAATCTAAGATGAAGTTGTCCTATTAGTTTGGCATCTGATGAGGGGCTCTTGACTGGGAAATAACTGCATGCAGAAGGAATCAAATACACTGATATTTTTGCTTGATAACAAAAATATGCTCTGTGAGAACTAACCCCTTCACAAGACCAGGATAAATTTCTTCTGAGGGCAGCACTTCTCATGCTCTAAACCCTCCCAGTAAGCCTCACCTTGTAAAGCTTTCATTACACCAATGCCACCAAACTCTGGGCCAAGATTTTGACAATGCATCTTTCAGGGACACATTCAAACCTTGTCAACACTTCCCCTTCTCCAAGGAGCAAGATGCCTGGTAGAGCTTGGACAAAGATGGAAAGACCAGTTGTTCCTTGGGGATTCCAAAATGTCTGCTCTCCTTCTAACAAAGAGGCTGTTCTTGACATAGTCATGGTCCCTTGGGTCCTCTTTCTGACTAAGTCTGATACTGAGTTTTGTCCTTGTCCCAATTATCCCAGTTTTAGCAAAGATTATAGCCAAATTTCTCTACTTTTTGTCTGATCACCTTTGATATCTTGTCACGGTGGCCTGCATTGAGCAAAAATCCTGTTACGAGAATTGAGAAAAGAATCCCTCTTCTGCTAAGTAGTTTTCCATCCACTGATCCTCATCTGTCTCCTTGATTATAAATCTGAACTTTTCTTTGTCATTTTCAGAGCTGAACTATAGATCTCTTTTCTGCTACAAAACCCTATTGTAGTAGTCTTACTTACTTTTTTTTAACCATCACCATGAATAGTGTTTTCTTTAACACTTTTCTAAGACTCTGTAAAGCTCTTTACTTTCTAGCCTACAAAATACAGAAGATACTGCTTACTAGAAGATAAGCAGTTTGATTCCAACCATTGGAGTATGGAACTTTGAAACCCTAAAGA